CGCAGGTCTCCAGAATAGGGGCAAAAGGGGAAGGAGACTCCCCTGTCGTGCCTCTCCCCGTACTTCTTTCTTGACGTTGTCGAAGTACGGTGTGACCGCAATGACAATAGTGAGCACGAGTCATCGGTAAAGTAAACTGATTTACAGGAAAGTATATTTACATCATCATAAAATAATAATAAGGATGGAAAAAACAAAATACAAGGAACAATAAATTTTGGTAATGAAACTCTGCTATAGCACGGACCAAGTTTAATAGTAGTAGTAGGTCCATGAAGAGGGGCGAATACGGCATACAGCCCAGTGTGGGTGCCTCCCATCGTCAAGGTCGTCTCTCTGGAAAGAAAGACATGGTCGTAGACACCTCCCCTAGGGTTCCGCGTCCGGTCGCTTCCTATGAAGAAGACCAGATCCAGATGGGGAACTCAATGATCCACACTGTTAATATGAGAGGAAAATAAATGTTTTAGGAAATGAAAAATATGAAGTTAACAAATAAAACACAGCTCAGGGGCAGTCATGGACGGTAGGTTTTCCTACAAAGTTAACTCAGCCTCCATTGATTTTCATATCAAATTAGCGTGTTAATAAAATAAGCTATCATGGCTTATACTTGCATATCCAAACAGAATCATGAAAGCCTGTTGGTAGAGTCAAGCACGCCGCACACACGAGTCAGTTTGAGTGTGTGCGCCGGTGTCTGAACGCTCACTCACTGCTAGCTTTGTAGCTAACTGTTAGGCTACTTAGCTTGCATTGTTATGGATCTAAAGGTAGCAAAAGCTAACTTTCATAGCACAGCATTACTTCTCACTTACCACAATAAAGAAACAGACCGTATAGTACAGCACAAACAACACAAATGATCAATACTTACATATATTTTCACTTTTAGTATTATAATAATTGAAATGCTGGTTCTTCTGCGGGTGTTCTATCCACGCTCAGGCAGCCACCGCACCGCAGCTGCCTGCACTGTACAATCACTGGGCTGTCACTCAAAAATGGGGACGCACCCCTGAAAGTCTCGCCCACCTGGGAGGTTTGTCTCAGAATCTCAAACAAAAAATGAGGGAGCGCAAAAGAGAAAGCTGCAGCGAGAGCAAAAGTCTGATCATTGAGAAAGAAGAAACAAGAACTGCAAGGGAAAACCTATGTTAAAACAAAGAAAAAAGACTTATAGTTTACATGATTAAACAAATGATTTGTTTGCAACTTATAGTTTTATTTTTGAAATTTATTTTATTTTGCTTGACTCAGTTTTTTTTGCTTTTGAACTCATAGTTTTGCTTTATTCTGAGAAATTGTTGCTTTATCTTTATGAAACAAAACTAATCCCATACTTCGGCACACAGCCAACGTTCAAAGGACAATTTCATATAAAACATACATGGGATACATCTGTGCAGTAGGTGTATGAAGGAGAGACTTGTTTCTTTCAGAGTGCTTCCTCAGAGTTCAGCAATGATCATAAAGTCTTTATTAGATCAGACTGTGTCCAAATCCTTAACCAGAACAAACGTTTTTTAGTGGACCTGCCAGTACTTACAGGATATGAGTTGCCCAAAGGGATTTAGAAGAGCATTTGAAGATGGAAGAATATTGTATGGTCTGACAAGCAAGCTATCAAATGTCAGAGGCACTCAGTTCGTTGCTTAAGGTAATCTGATTCCCAAATGGGCTAAAATATTTTGTCAAGAGATATGTTTTGATTATAACTTTAGGAAAATGTTCAGTTACCTACCCTTGCAACTTTTCCCGCTATAGTGTAAGTGCTTGAAATCAAGAAAAATCCATAACCACCATGATGGATCCCTGTCCAACAGCTGAAAAGCACTTGACATCGTTGTTAATGCATTTAGTCTTACAGTGCTGAAGCTGCAGGATTTAGTCAAAGCCCACCTAGCTCTTCCTCATCTATGATGTAGTTAGCTGACTTTAAATATGTTAAAAAATAAATGATTACAGATTATTCATGGACAAGTATATTAGGCCCACACACCCACCTCACCCCCTGATAGTTACTGTGTGAATGTGGGAAAGGAGCCAGGGTTAAAACAGCTTTATGTAGCTCTATTTGTTATTCTTTATAAAACTAGTAATGTGAATGCCCTCTGAGAGACAATGCCTGAAGTGTAAAATGTTCAATAACAAATGTTCGGTGTGAGTTCCACTTCTTCTGGCCTCTATTTGGCCTTCCTGCAGTGCTGTAGCTCTGCGTCATTTCTAAAATGACAGTATGTTTATCAATGCCATCTTTTTGGATTATTAAGACGCGATGACAAAAAGAAGAAAGCGTTATCTACAACACCAACTGCGACGACATCATTACGCAATATCGTTAATGAAAAAGGACTAGACTAAGACGATTTTATATTTTTTGTCAGTTTCCACCTTTCCTCCTCCTCTCTGTCCCTATTTCTCTCTTAAACACACTAATACACATACTCACCATGCACAACTGTTTGTTCAGTATAAACAGTCCTCAGTCTTGTGCAACTACAACCCATAAAGACTGCCGTTGGTTTAGGTACGGCTGGTTGAACTAGTCAAATATTTTCATGTTGGGCGGTTCAGCTCTCATAAGGGACCGGGTTGGTGCGACTGACCCGTGCATTGAGCAATGTCAGGACTACTTGGTGTAACAAAGCTGATTTAATACTCTTTCAACCTTTGTTTTTTATAAGATAATACTTATACAAAATGTAATTAGAAAATTGTTCTTTAAAAGTCCAAAACTATTGCCTCTGTCTAGACTACATTACTACAGTAGAATGTTAAATAATCTATAAAGAATTGTTGTCACTTGTCATCATCGAAAATAAGATCTGACAAGGTGATTCTCTTTGTCGCCCAGCATAAAGCACTTCACGGCAAACAAAGTCAAGTATAAAGAGATGCAGAAGAAATAAAGTGTGTGTCAGTTGTTGGCAGAACAGCTTGGAATCGGGAATGGAAGGTACTGATGGCCAAACAAAGAAAGTATGAGGATCGGACAGTAATGATTGTGCTGTAGGTAGCTAAGCATGAGCTTCATGATATTGTCTTTTCTTTGTTTGCCCCGTTAGGAATTAGCGTGATCTTTGGCACCGATGGAACAAAATCAAATTTGTCTCACAAATGTTAAAATAAAATAATAATAAAACACATTGGTCTCTCGCATTTGATTCTGAGGTACAATTTATTTGGACGGCAGAAACCAATAAAGTATGAACATGGTTTTGCATAGAGTTCAAGTGAATCAAACATTTAGGAAGGGGACGCCTTACCTGCAGCAAGCTATTCTTCCTCTTCTTCCCTCCTTTCCCTCCTCCGCCTCCTCCTCCCCCTCCAGCTCCTCCTGCCTCCCCACTGCTGTCCAACCCCCCAGTCTTGCTGTCCTCGTCAATCGGTCTCCGCATCAGCATGATCCTCGGTAGCACTCTGAGAAACACCGAGCGCACCCAATCCGGCATAGTGTGGGTCATTGGCGTGCGGTAGTGAACGTTCAGCACGAACACGGTGATGACGATGCTGAGCGTGACAAAAATCATTGTAAAGAGCAGGTACTCTCCAATGAGCGGGATGACCAGCGACGTGGAGGGGATGGTCTCAGTGATAACGAGCAGGAACACAGTGAGGGAGAGCAGGACGGAGATACAGAGCGTGACCTTCTCACCACAGTCGGACGGGAGATAGAAAACCAGCACTGTGAGGAAAGAGATGAGGAGGCAGGGGATGATGAGGTTGATGGTGTAGAAGAGTGGCAAGCGCCTGATGTAGAAGGAGTAGGTGATGTCTGGGTAGATCTCCTCACAGCAGTTGTACTTGATATCGTGCTTGTAGCCAGGAGCGTCAATGATTTCCCACTCGCCACTCTCCCAGAAGTCTTTCAGGTTCACCTAAGGGATGGATAGAGATCTTAAAATCAATTCATGAAATGATCCGAACAACCTTCAGAGTCAACTTACCATTTTGAAAAGGCCACCATCAACAATACAATACATATGGTATGGTTCATCCTTATGAATATGGATTTGTGAGAATATGCAAAACAAACTGACTTTCACCTGGGTTTCATGTCCACATGCACCCACAGACTGTAAGTCGCTGCAAGAGGGCGCGATCACTGTAGTTTACAGATAATAAGGCCGTCTTGCGATGTTTACAGGTCTTACAGAAATGTTACAGCAATAGAAAGTGAAGAGGGAAATAAGACATAAATACAAATGAAGCCACTTATTGTCCACAAGAAGCCCTCCAAGTAGGCACAAAATGGTTCAACATATTATGCAATGTTTAGGTTCATATTTGTGTTCTGAGCCTTTACTGTTACATGATCACATGATTAAATGTTCAAAAAGGTCTTTCTCATACTTCCTGTGCTGCAGCACCTCTTTTCACCCTCTGTCTGAAACCAGAGCCCAGCCTGCTCTGATTGGTTAGCTGGCCGGCTCTGTTTTGACTGGTCAACTGCTTAAAGATGTGTCGGAAATGTCACGCCCCCTAGCAAATCACATAACACGTTTTGAGGTGCTATCCAATAGAAGCATTAGTGTTACATAGTGATGTCATTATGTTACTGAAGCAAACAAAGGAGTCCAATTGAGGTGTTTCAGGCGTGTGGGAGAAAAAACCCCTTTGGAGGGTTCGTTGTGATTTTCTCCTTTGCAGATAATTTAAATGAACAAAAACCTATATAACACTACAGGGAAGAGATAATAGGGCCTCTTTAAACTACAGTGTAATTTTATTCAACTTTCATCTTATTTTCAACCTATTCTCACTCCCAGCTTTTATCAACTTTTTACGTTTTTCCCACTCAATTTTACCGTAGGGTTTTGCTTATGCTGCATCTTTAAAAGGTAAAAACTGTAACACGAAAAAGTTGCCTTTTTTGTTTTAAGAATCTCAGAGCGTATTTTTATATATGTCCAGTATTTGCATGATAAAGAAAAGTAAAGGAAGGGATTAGATGAATCATGAAACATGATAGAAAACCTTGCAATGCACTTACGTGTTTAAACTTAAAGGAACTGATTCTGTAAGACAATTTTTAGTCTTCACATCACTACTCCCAACATTTTAAACATGGGATTTGTGTAGTGGTCCTACCTGTTAAACTAGTATGCTAGAAACGGTTACCCAGTACATAAAAAAATGATGACAAAAGGTCTGACAAAGTTGTTGTTTGAATTGGGTATGAGAACATGTTGACTGAAAACATCTAACTGTTTTCACAGGCTTTCAAAGGTAGTGCTCTCAATATAACAAATTAATTTACCTTTTTCGTCCAAATCGTTCGTGCACCTTGAATGAAACCTAATATATGATCCCTAAGGTTGATGCATGCAGTATCAAACAGAATAATGTAAGAGTGTTTTTCTTTGAAGTAGGACAGAATGAAGCAAAACATGAAATATAAAAATTGTTGATCGTGACGCCAGTCTGGGAACACAATCACAAAAACTGACCTTAGACCCGATTAGTACCAGGTCAATCTTGGCTTTGTCATAAGTCCAGGAGCCGAACTTCATGGAGCAGTTCTGATAGTCGAAGGGGAAGTAGGTGATGTCCATGGGACAGGAAGACTTAAAAATGGCTGGAGGGACCCAGGTGATGGTACCATCAAACTTCAGCAGAGCCTTGGTCTTATCCTCAACCAGGAAATCACCTACAGCGCTGCATGACGTGTGTGTTTGTTTGTGTGTAATCAAGCGGAAGGAGTCCAATGGAAGGATATGAGGCGATATGATACGAGCGTATGTGCATACAAAGAAGGAGGCAGAGACGCCAGACAAAGGCGAGGAGAAAATGAAGGCGGGGAACAAAAGAGCGGGGGAGAAAATATAAAGAGGAGGTAATGGAGGCAAGAAAGAAGAGATTAGGATTAAAAGACAGAGGACAATGAAGCCACATTATGCATCATTGAGAAATACAAAATTGCCTTTGATTAACATTATGAGTTGATATTGAGGATAGAATAACTGAGCCTGAAAGACTGGAGCACATCATAAACTGACCCTGAACCACAGACAATCGTGTTGTGATTACAGAACAGTCAGTTGCACCTACAGCAGCTAGAGGTATAAAAGACATTAGAAGTGGTTGAATGAAATATATAACATTTACTCTACTGTACAATTTTGATTCCTTTTTACTTTACCTCAATGTTTTCATTTTACCCTACTTTATGATTCCACTCCACTACATTTTAGAGTCAGTATTGTACGTTTTTACTCCACTTTTTTTTAAAATTTATCTGACAGCGTGAGTAACTATACCGATTTAGATTTTAGAAAATACAAAAAACACATTATCAATCAAATCTATTACATAATATATAAATATAGGTTAAGATATCCAGTAGAAGTATACAGTACACTGACAATGAGCTCCTCCTTCAGCAAGACATAAATACACCAACTGTCACGATCTGTCTGTGTTTTGTTTTGTCTTGTCTTTTTCTGTCTTTGGTTTTTATTTTGAAAAGTGTTCACCCCTGTCTTGCCTGTTGCCTTCTGTCTGTGTTCCCTCCTGTCTGATTACCCGATTGTGTTCACCTGGTGCCCCTGTGTTTTCTCCTCCCTCCTCACCTATCTCTTGTTTCTTTGATTAGTCTTGTGTGTGTTTAAGTTCTGTTTTTTCTGTCTTTCATTGTTAGTTCCTTGTTTGTCTGTGACTGTGTTCACGGGGTAGGGTTCTGTTTGTCACTGTGTAAACCTTGAAATAAAGGTATTTTCTGCGTAATCTGCATTTGGGTCCTGCCTGCTTCACTCAACCCTCACACCAACAACATGATCTAGTAGTTACATGTATGATTCTGAAATGGAATATTACACATAATGAGTACTTTTACATAAGGTATTGAATGCAGGACTTTTGCTTGTGACAGTATTTCTTCAATTTGGTATTGCTTGTTTTACTTAAGTAAAATAAGTTGACTACTTCTTCCATCTCTGGACATTTGGGCTCCAAAGAATTGGGCACTTATGTAATATTTCGGTGACGTTATCAACTCAAGTTTTCCTACCAAAAAGACACATTTGGGGTTGTTTTCTGTCAGGGCTCGTTTGAACGTTACAAAATGTTTCACATGAGCATATTCTGATCTGTCATGTATTTGTTGACACTGTCAACTCCATATAATGTAATGGCCCCTGCCCTTAAGTGGTGGCAACCAATCACACGGGTGAATTTGCATTTTACCACTGATGTCATATGCCAACGTACTAGTTTTCCTGGGATTTTCAAAATGGAGATGTCTGATTTGCAGTACAATAACATCCTGATGATTCTAATTTCGCTCCTAATTAGGCAACAGCAATTATTGGCTTTGGTAATAAGAAGACTCTTTTTGAAAACCAACCTATTGATTTTCAGGTATTCAATCTCTAATAGTGATTGCAATAAGAGTGAACAAACTAATGATAATGATGCTGATAATGGTTTGACAGTCTCACTTGTTGTAGAGCACGATATCAGGTCTCCAGATCTTGTTGGATGGAACTCTAATGAACTCGATCCCGTCAAACTCCCTAGGCATCCACCGCAGCTTGTAGTCATTCCAAATCTGAGAGAGAGAAGAAGAGAAACCTCATTTAGAGCACACTGCCGAGCCAACCATCTGTTTTGCATTTTTCATTGTACACTGCAGACGGTATTATTCACTGGAGACATTCCCCTTCGTGGGAATATTTTGGAATACATATTTATACCTCAAGCAGAACTTCCTTTGATGTTTTACAGTAGTGCCAAATAGGGATAATGTCGCAAGGAATCCAACGCCCATCAACAGAGTTTCAAGGAGTATCTGAGGGCTTTCATTGCTTGTTCAAAGTCGTAACAAGCAAACATGTATTTCTTTAATGCAATGCCTCACTATAAAAAGAATCACAAAGCTTCAGTAAGCAAATAACAACACATCTACAAAACAGCTGAACAAAGAGCAGCTCAGAGAGGAGAGGAGTTAATGCTCACTGACAGAAGAACACTTGCTATGCTGTCAACATACCTGCGGGTAAAATTTCATGAGCCGCGGATCCATTAGTCTTGGCTATTTGCATGCCATTCAAGATGAGTTCATTCATTAGCAAATGCAGATTAATATCCAGTTATGACCTGGGAGCTGTTTAATTAACCACTTCATGCTACACTGGATTTTTATCGTGAGCTATATGATTGGCTAGAGATGGGATTCCTTATTGGTCGATCTTTTTTTACATGGTTATTGGATCAATGATAAATGCATACAGCGAGTCACAAAAAAACCACATATTCCCTATGTATCTTAGTCAACAATAATAACAATACAAATATAATGAGAAAAACATCACTCGTCACCGGCTTGATCTTCAATATCAGGATACATGTATTTATTATCCTTGCAAGAATGGAAGTAGTCATCACACACAGAGCTGCGCGGGACAAATAGTTCCCAGAGTAGAGTCCTTGACATGCTTATATACAAGAGATTGTTACAGTCAACAAGATGGAAGAATACTGGTTCAAAGCAGTATTTTGACATTAGTTAAGATTAGCTAAGGCCTGCGTAAGCAATAAACATGACAGTCATATGCCTATCTCTCTAGGGGCTGTCTCATCGTGCAATATTAGGAACATAGCTATCATAACTTCAACACAGTGTCTCATGAGCGTCATCCATGTTGTCATACATCTGGCTACGTACACAGCTACATAGGGCCTCTGTTATAATGTGCTACTCTGATATAGAAGGAACATTCAGTATTTTCCCAACGCATGACTATAATTGTCAATAATTGAGAAAGTGACTAAGGAGTTTTCAAAAAAGATAAAAAATACCACTGATACAGAATAAGTTAGGGACTCTACAAAGGTTATTAGGAGATAAGGCAATAACAAACATGATAGTCAAAGCTGCTCTCCAGACATGGAATAAAGGAGGAATATGAGCAAAAATGTAAAGAAATTGAAATAATACATCTTATAGCGAAGAGGCAGGTAAAATATTCCTATATTCGGCATTATTTTGCATTGTTTAAATGTAGTTGTCTGATCGATATCATAAAAGTAGTCAGTAGAGCTTGTTTTGAGTATACAGTCAACACATTTAGAAACACTGCATGCTGCTACAGAAGGAATCCCCTGCAGTGTTACTGTGGTACAGACGCGATAAATTCATAAAGGGGGGGCTTTTTGAAATGGCTAACACTGTAAACCCCCCCCCCCCCCCCCCCCCCCTGGCTGCGATTCAAAGTCTGTATCAGTGACGGTGGTTTTGAAACAGCTTATTCATTAGTGATGCCTTGTTATAAATAAACAGCTCAGCCATTACAAACAACAAATAAGATCAGCCCATACAGGCCTTTCAATGCGTTTTAATTGGAGTGCGCAGAGATCACAGTGTTATCAACCGTTAAATCTCATCAGCATCCAGCAGCTGTTTGGCAGCAACGAGTCAATGTTAAAAAAGGTCAATATTTATTATGAAAGCGGCTTTAATTATAAATATTTGTCAAAGAGAGATTTAGTCGAGCTAAATTGGTGGTTTGGGGCACAGAGGCAACATGTGCTATTTGGATTTATGGTTGGGGAGGCAGGGTTTGGGGGGTCAGGAGGTCAGGGTCCGTGGTTATTGATCCGCTAAGAGACAGAGCGTGACTAACCATGATGCTAGCATTGATCAATGGCCCATTGCATTCAAATGTCTTCCTTGGTTAGCCTTGGTTTCTTGTTTTGCCTCACCTGCTTTATTTTTTACTTCAGTGATATATGACGTTCTCACACACACACACACACACACACACACACACACACACACACACACACACACACACACACACACACACACAAATAAACAGTACAGAATGTATAGTTGAGTGTTAACACCTTTCTCACTCTTCACTGATCGCTATCTCTGTCCATTCCGAAATGGGGTTAGGTGTGTGTGTGTGTGTGTGTGTGTGTGTGTGTGTGTGTGTGTGTGTGTGTGTGTGTGTGTGTGTGTGTGTGTGTGTGTGTGTGTGTGTGTGTGTGTGTGTATGTTGTACTTACATGCCTGAGCCATAGATTTGTTTCCATGATCTGGTTCACCTCATCCTGGAAAGACAAGAAGAAGAAGAAGAAGAAGAAGAAGAAGAAGAAGAAGAAGAAGAAGAAGAAGAAGAAGAAGAAGAAGAAGAAGAAGAAGAAGAAGAAGAAGAAGGAAGAGAGTGTGTGTGAAAGAGGGGGAGTGTGTTGTTTGTACTGCAAATGGGAAAAAAGAGTGAGTACCATATGGAATTTAAAAAAAGGTAAACAAAAATGCAACCCGAAAACAACAACAATTCACAACATTTTCAAAAATAAATGAGATTCATCCTCTAATCTTTTTCCTCTAGAGCGGGAGTTGGTGGACTGAAACGGTTGAGTAATAAAAGATGGAGGGGTTACAGATGTCACTTCCTCTCCACCTCTCTCTGTGACCCTGGTTCAGTTTGATTTGCAGTCAGTTGATTCTCAGAACTCCACATCAATCACATACAGGCCTGCGTCAGCAGATACACTGTGCACAAGCAGATTTGTGAACATATGTGCAGAGACACAAACACTGTGACACATCCACACACACTCACCTTTAGATTAATCTCACCTAGCCCAGCAAGCCGATATAGCTACATATCAGCCCCAGCCTGAAAAAGTCTCCTGCAGGCAATGTCCTCTTCATCTGAGGATTTCCATTTTGAGCTGAAAACCTCTTTCACTGTGTGGGGATCTACAGCGAAATCCACTCCCCCTCCCCATCCGCATTAAACGTAACATTGCAAAGGGAAAACAACAGCGTATAACAACACCGTGTGACATTTTCAGAATCCGTGAAATTGAGCAGACTAAATAAAGATTGTATTCACTTTCTGCTTTCACTTCTCTCGTTCCACGGCTTATCTTTTGCCTTTTCTGTATCAAAGGTAGTAAATATGATCAGGGCGCTTGTTGGAAGACGTCTTTCAGTTCACACTCTCATGTACTGTTGAGAGGATGCTATTAATGCAACAACACGTTTGTTACATTCACTTTTGCTCTTGCAAGCTTGAACAACCGTTGTATAGGTTGCTCTGATGTCCAAAAGGAGTTACATGGTTCATGTTTCTTAAAACTGCAAATGAATTTAAATGTAAAATCAACATAAGTCCTGATCATACTTCCAAGTGTTTTAACACTAAAGTGTAACCCTTTGAAGGCCAGTTAGGGATATTTAGCCAATAACATAATGCCACAGTTATTTTTCATGGAGAAAAAAAACTATTTACAAACACTATATATTAATGGTATTCTCCTCTGAATTTCAGAAATGTTACCATTTTAATTGCGGTTTGATGACATTATGCCCTTGAATTTTTTTACGACGAAAAGTTAAAGATCACATATACGTATGCTCATTTTCAGATTCATATCTGTATTTTGTGCCTCTTCTGTGACATGTTTATATGCTATACTGTTCAAAAAGGTATTTATTCTTCTCATACTGCCTGTGCTGCAGCACCTCTTTTTACCCTCTGTCTGAAACTAGAGCGCAGTCTGCTCTGATTGGTTAGCTGGCTGGCTCTGCTGTGGTCAACCGCATAGAGATGTCCCGCCTCTTAGTGACATCAGGTCAAATGTGTTGAAGTGCTAGCAAATAGAAGCGTGAGTGTAAGGGTTGGGTGGTAATGGAATACAAGTAACGGCGTTACGTTATCAGAATACAAAAATCAAGTAACTGTATTCAGCTGGCGTTATATTTGAAAAACGAGTAATCTGATTATAATTACTTTCGTAAACCTGAAGTGAATACATTTTGGAATACTTATTGGAATTATTGGTGGAAAAGTTTCCTCACAAATGTAATATTCATAACCGGCAGATCTGCAGGTGTCTGTGAGGCCCCGCCCCCCGCACGCAGATGAGAATTTAAATTTGTATTTAAAATATATTGAAAGTTAGAAACGGAGATGATTCAATAGAATGTGCAAGATAACGTTTATGTAGCATTTCTTTATTGTCGAAATGATGACATTTCATAACGGATAAAGTCAAGTGAATGGTCTGCTGCTGTTGAATGCATGGGCAAGTGACTGGAACGTGTCAGATAATAATAATAAATAATAATGATAATTCATTCTATTTAGAGGTGCCTTTCAAAGCACCCAAGGACACCTTACAATTCATAAAGTATTCTAAGGAAAGGCTTAAGACAGTACAAAGAATGCGGTCCGGGGGATGTTTTTTATGTGGGTGCAGATGAGAGGAAGATGCTGTGTTTGAGTTGTGCTCTTTATAAGCCATTAAAACAGTAAAATACGTGTCTCCTGTTCACCAAAACATACCCATCTGTTATGGAAAAAGAAAGTATTCCAAAAGTAATCTAGTCTGGAATCCGTCCCTTGAGGGGGGGGTTGTGTCACGATTCTCATGTTATGTCACGTTTATAGTTTTGTAGGTTTGGGTGTTTTTGCTGTTTTCCATGTCATGTTTTCCTTTGGGTTATTGTCTGGTCCTTTTCCCTGTGTTTTCCTCTTGTCATTAGTTTCCCTGGTGTGTCTAATGGTCTGATTATGTTCACCTGGGCCCCAGTGTTTTCTCCTCCCTCCTCACCTGTGTCTTGTTGTGTGATTGAGTCTTGTGTGTATTTAAGTTCTGGGTTGTCTGTCTATCTTGGTCGGTTCGTCTTGTTCCCTGACTAGTTCTGCGGTGAGTGTTCTGTTTTGTCATTGTCTATATAGATCATAGCCTTGAAATAAAGGAAGTTTCAGTTTATATCTGCATTTGGGTCCTGCTTGTTTCACAAACCGTGACACAACAGCGGAATAAAATATCGAAACATCCAATTACAAACTCTCACAGAGCCTGGCTGTGTAATCCAGTAGGTAATCAGTATAATCATTTATCCATGTGTTTGCTCACTAATATCCGAACCCATTTATTTTTCACAAAATTGTACTATTTGAAACACTTCAGACACCATTGTCTCAAAATTGCAGAGGCTCACTGTCCATGCATTATGATTGCCACAATGCATTGTGGGAGCAAAGCGAAGCGTTGCTCGCTTCAAAAGTAGAGCAATGTTCTACTTTTGAAGCTTCGACGGAATCGTCAGCCAATCGAATCATATGCCAGTACAAGCTCTAGCCAATCAAACCACGTGCTTGTGTGTCCGGGGCGGGAGATTCATGTGATTGGTTGTTGGTCGAGCTTCATACACGCCCCCCGGCAAGCTTCTATGCACGCCGCTGTGTTTAGGGGCCGCTAATGTCTCAGAACTGGAGGTTAAAGCATGAGATTGAATCATTTACAAAATTACCCTATTTTTCTCAAAGTATTCTGCTTCAATCCTAATTTATATCATTCATCTTTTCACAAAAAAACATTTAAACCACTGTCAAAAAACACAAATTGCTCTCCTAACACAAACACAAAAGAGGGCCCACACTGTTATACATTAATGAAGGTTAATCTAGAAATAAATAGGACAAACTAATTTAATCAAATGAATCACTAAACCAGAACCTGCCAAACACTGCCCTAAGACACACTGATGTTCCCCTTTTTTAAATGCATTCCAGATTGTAGACAATTATGTAATAGCATGCAACAATTGGAGTGTGTACTCTTATTATACTATTTATTTTCATGTGTTGTTTATTTCCTGTGTAATTTCCTGTTCACACATGCGGCATCACTTCCCATCTGAGGGCCTTACCTTTTCCCTCTGAGGGCAGATGTGGCGTGTTTTGTCTTGTCTTGATGGAAGTACCACACGGAGGTCACACAAATGGTTTCCTATGTGACTGACAGTGTTAGATTCCAATTTCCCCCACCACTGCTACTGTCTCACTCTTCTTTCATGTATACATTTTCAGTGCCTTGCCTTTGTATAGAAATACATTACTTTTCTTTCAGACACAGTTGTCACAGACACATTTATTTCCTCCCCAACATAATCGGCAAGTAAACAAGACCTGAAAGAATGGTTCTCGGAACAAAGACCCGGCTTTGATCAACCATTTGTTAACATTACAATGCTCTTTGGAAATAAAAAAAGACATGCTTGTCTGTTCCCTCTCTATTACCCTTCTGCAATCGTTTTCCGTCAACAAGGAAATAAAGAGCCCAGAGAAAAGCCTGGGAGTCCATGAGGAAATGCAAAATACTGTTGCAAGGCCCTTCCTGAGGATTAACAGGGTTTCAAGAGTGGGATGCTATCCTCAAAAAGGAACACATGTGACATAAGAAAGAAACAATATGATTATGCCACAGTGAGATGTCTTTCATTTTTCCTTGGGTTTAAGATTTTGCTGAAATAATTGTAAAGAATAAACTTTTATAACAAGAACAGATTACTGGCTTCCAAAGAGATTTAATTGTTACTGTTTTACTTAGACTATGTAGGGTGAGTGCTGAGGGGGTTTAGAAAGGTTAACAGAACATACATTTTAGGAAAAGCTGTCTTGCCTATAGTTTGGTGAACATGTATCAGTATTGAGCCTGGAGCCAATTAGCTTAGGTTAAAGCATGTGAGGTTGGATAATATTCACATTTGAATCAATAGCAGTTCCTTGAATGTGATATATGTACCCAACTCTAACATTTTTGCATTACAATTATTGCAGCAAAAGTGTCTGTTCACATGCTTTCGGGGGTGTCCTCTTGCTGACCCGCTTTCCCTGCTAGAGTGCTTATTCATAACTCAACTGAAGGTAACAGTCTCTCACCAAGATGCGCTATTAGGTATCTAAAGTTGGCACCAAAATATTTGACACAAAATAGTCCTCTGTAGTATCAAGGTTATATGGTTGTTACCCTTAAAAAGTACCGAATTTGGTACTAAAACCTCAAGAAGGCTTAAACAGCTTCTAAGAACAGTATAATCACATTATATATTGGTTGTTTAATCTCAACACAAACAGCAAAGAACATCTGGAAATGGTCACAGAGAAGGCTATCCAATTGCCTAACAAGCAACATTTTGTATGGAGTAAAACTCTTAATTGAATGTGATTTTTGACAGAGTGGGTAGACATTTCCCTATAACAAGTTAACATAGCTTTCATTGGGGAGGTCCCATGCGACTTTGCCCAAAA